TGCCGCCGGTGAATCCACCAACAAAAAAGTATCGGTCAAGATCAAACCCTGTGAGAAGGGGAAGGCCCTTGCTGGACAAAAAACAGGTGCGACAGGTGCCACGCTCTCGGTCACAACGACGAGTGCAACCGGCGGAAGTGGTGGAAAAGCCGAAGCCACTGGAACTGAAGCCTCGTGGTGGGTTGTCGTATCGGTTCAGCAGAGCGTGGGCAGATGTGGTGGATGATGATGAACAGGCGGAGGCTTTGGTCTCGTATGCCGCTTCCTCAAGCGATTCAAGCGAAGAGGAGACCAATGCCGTACAACGCCTGAAGGAAATCTTTTTGCAAGAAAGGGATTCAAAGAGAACTGCGAATCGTGGCAATGTTCCGCAAAGTGGTTCTTCAGGCTCCAATGACGGGCCGAAAAAATCGGTTCACCTTGGCGAAGGGCGCGACAAAGCGTCGCGGGGGGAGACCCGCCAAGAAGTGACTTCACAAGTTTTTTCGCTACCACAACCTTCTCGTCGAGCTGAACGGTCTCAAAAAAGAGCAAGGGATGGTTCAGTTATGGTTGGTTCGCTGGCGGTGGGCTCCACGGATGAGGTTTTACCTGGGCAAGGTGTTGCTGGACAGGTGAATGTCTCTGAAAGCGCTCAAGTTCTTCCTGGGCAAGAAGTGGCTGGACAGGAGACGGCGCCGGAAGGAGCAGTACAGATTTCTGGCGAGGAGACTGACCAAAAAGAAGGAGAAGGTGGGAGCAATGACCTCCGTGGTGATGATGCGAAGATGTTGGATGGTGGTCCGGTGAGGAGTGACCTTCAGCAATTGCTGGTTAAAGGCCTTCTGACTCGGATTTATTGGAAGGTTGCAGTTGGCAAGTTGCCGGTGGGGCAAAGAGACTGCCAAAAAGGGTCCAATAAGATGGATCGAAATTTGGTTATTAGCATGTCATCCGAGGGTGCAAGCGAACAGGATGAGAACCTGGCACTGGAGGACGATGCTGATCAGTCAATGGGTGACGGTGCGATGGTTGTTCTGGTGTATGATCCAAGGACGCTGATTCAGTCGCCAACAACTGATTGGGTTATGCGTCGCGGTCTTACCGATCGTTCCGTCTGGCCAGCAATGGCGTACATGGCACAGAGGATATGTGCTGAAATGGTTCAAGTGGATGAAATGAATGCCCAGCTAGGGACTGGAGCACTCCTTTTTCAAAGGAGAGATCAAGGACATTATACTGACCTGCATCATTCGTTCCATGAAAACCCGTGCTTGTCGGCGGTGGGGAATTATCCTCTTTCAGTGATGGGTGCTTTGTTGTCTCCTGGTCTGGAAGGGGAATTCAAGAACACTGACAAGTTTGGAACTGCTATGGAGGCAATTGCCTACGATTGGAGCCGCAGTCCAGGCATGGAAGTTCATATTGAACTTATGGCGAGGGTAGCCAAAATGGTTCACCCATTCCTGAATCTGGGAGCCCAAGGGTCGGTGATGATTTCGGAATTTCTCTGGCAGCGCGGGAGGGCTCGGTTGATGGAGTTCCTTCAAGCGGCGACTTGTGCGGACCAATTGGAGGCTCTCTGGAGAAGGATGGACGACGATGCTGATGAAGAGGTGGATCCTTCGACAGCGGTGCTGGAAGTTTTTGGACCAGAGGGCGCGGTGCTTGATCAAGGGAACAATGAATCCCTTATTCCCATTGAAGATGCTGGAGGTGAGATAAGTGGTGACACTGGAGGGGATGGCAAAGCGCCAGAAGTTTCTCCGGAAGAGGAGACATCCAGTGGGTCATCAAGACTGGCGGACACAAGGATTTTCTTGTGGTCAGTGTACTCCCGCGTGGCTTCGAATTTCTCTATGCAGGACCGCACTACTGGTAAGATCTTTGACAGCACAAAAGGGTATCCTGGTGAAGGACCAAACAATGATGACAATCCTTCCTCTAAGGGGAACTTACCCTGGATCTCGGAAGACTACCTCGACGAAGTGGTGTCAAAAAAGATGGAAAGGTCTTCAGATATGGATGGGTTTGTTCCGGGAAGTGAGGGACCATTGGAAAAGGTAGAGGTGGAGAATGTTACTGCCTCTAAAATTCTTATGGCTCTTTGGAAGAAGGGACATAGAGTTGGTTATAGGAGGTTGTGTCGTTTGAACGCATCTGGATGCAAGGTTGGAGCAATGAAACGTCCAATCAAAAGGGTGCAGAAGATTGGCACTAGAAAGGCCTTCATGAAGATGTTCAATGTTTTTGGATCGTCTCAGCATGGCTCAGGAGTTGGCGGAAAACCGATCATGAAGGTGGTAGGACCAAGGCCGGGTTTTCCAGCTGTACTCCAAGCACCAAATACTGATAGCACGTCGGGTGAAGGGAGCAGTCCCCAGGTACATGGCAATGTTCATGTAGAGCACAATCGCCCTATGGACCGGTATGAGGCAGAGCGCTTGGAGAAGAGGAAGAAGGGTTTCTGCTATTGGTTCGGCAGGGGGAAAGATCGCTGCAAATTCGGTGACGACTGCAAATTCATCCATTCCGAAGATGATGTGGTGCTACATTCATATTGGTGCAAATACTATGTGGCAGGGAGAGAATGTTTCGCTGGAAAGGATTGTGAGTTCTCGCATGATGCAACTGGTGTGAGGTGCGTCCAGTTTGCTCGGTCTGGGAAGTGTCGATTTGGTGACAGGTGTGTCTTCGAGCATGGTGTTCCGTTGGAAAAACAGAGGCCAAGGTCTCCAAGGACGCCCCCAAGGGATGGTCCAAGGAAAAAGTCTGGTGCAAATGGTGGAGAAAAGGAGATCTCTCCTGAACAGTTCGATGATGATGAGGAGGATTTTATGGTTTATGACGAAGAGACCAAGATGACGGAACTGTTGATGGAGGCGATTTCATTTCTCTCCGGTGGCAAGCCAGATTTGGCTCGAGCAGAGGCGGACCCATTGTTCAAACTCCTGAAGTTCACTGGAGATGCTGACCAAATGGATCAAGTATGGGTTTCGTGGACCACTGAAATGTTGTCCGTGCTGGAACTTCTCGAAGTAGTGAAGTCGTATGAGGTTTCGCTCGCGGAGGTGGAAGAATGGGTCAATGACCTGAGGATATGGTATGAGCGAGCCAATTTGGGAGAGGAAAAGGATCCCAAAAGAGGTAAAAAGAGATCCCTAGAAAGGGAGTCCAGCAAGGATATTCCTGCCGAAACAGGAGTGGTTGAGACTTCGGAGACGGAGGTTGCCGTTGAAGAAGAGAAGAAAAAGGTAAAAAAGAAGAGGAAAGCTGCAGCTATTGAAGATCCTTACACTCTCATGGTTCCAAAGCCGAAGAAGATGCCGACGATCATTGAGAAGGGTGGATCAACATCCAATGTGGTGGCTTCTGCAGTGGAAAAATCCTCGAAGACGCGCACAAAGTCAAATGTCGGTGGAAAGACAAAGAAGAGGGAGAAAAGTCAGAGTCCCAAAAAAGAAGAGGTGGTAATGGTTCAAGATCCTGAAGAAAAGGATCGTCCATCTGATGCGGATGCACCAGGGTCTGCCACTGCGAATGAAGAGCTGGGTCAATCTTGCCAGGCGATTGAGGACGCAAAGAGAGAAGGATTGGTATCCTCAATTCAAAGGGGCGTACAGGATCCTGTTCTTACAGTTTCGGACCTGGAGTATATTCTGCTGCAACTTCACCTCAAGATTGCCAACAATCGGAAAAAGAAGTGATTGGATGGTATGGATGAAGGGATAGTTTTTCTCTTTCTGGAGACGGGTGCGCTGGAACAGCCAATGTGCTGACAATGTGGTGGTTACTATTAAGGGTATGGAAATCCCTGATAGTAGAAGTAAGTAGCTTTTCGCGTAGCGAAGACCACGGTTTGTGGTGAAGAAGGCCAAGGAGTCTTCAGTGATGAGAGGATCATGGTGAAAAAAGATTCTCTATGGGTGGTAGGTTAGCCAACGTGCTATAATTCAGTCCTGGAAGACGTTAAACCACAACTTGCATTTCAAGCAGCTGGCTGCTGCCTTAATGGCAGTTTTTGGCCAAAAGACCTGCATCTCCAATGTGTCCTAGGAAATCCTAGGACAGGGGGAGTGCGGAGCTGCAATTGGTATTGTAGAAAGGAGTTAGTGTTGGAAGTTGAAAGGGTTAATGAACCCGTAAACTATGTTTGGCTCAAGGATGGCCAGCCCGTCCAAAGAAAAAAGTCCGTGTTTGGGAGTGAGGGTTGGGTTAGTGCCCCTCTACTTGTGTAAGGGTGCCCCTTCCTTGTTGCTCTTATCCGTGTTCTTGGTTGTTTCTTGGTTCGATCTGGGAAATATAAGTTCAGGGCGATTAGGGGAGTTGATTTCCTTCCTTGGTTGTCCCCCCGTATAGGGTTTAGGCCCCCACCGCCATCCACCCAAGCCCTTCAACCTTCAACCCTCGTCTTCAACCATGTTCACAGAAGCCTTGCCGATCTTACCCTCGACAGTGGCCCCGAGCCCCACGTAAACCCACAAACTTGACCAACACGACATCCCAACCGGAGGGGGAGAGAGGGAAGCAGACGAAACTACAAAATCCTAAACTGGGACACGTCCCAGCCACTTGGAGGGAAGGGGTGCATCCATCCTTGTCCCCTAAGCCCAAAGTCCCCCTCATTACTCCTCACGCTCGTTTCTGGTGTTGTGGCTTTCGGTTTGCTGGTATCAGTAGCGCTTGAGGTCTGGATTGTGGATATCGCTGAATGGCTTTGATTCTTGGAAGCCCCAAACGGAACTGACTCAAGCATTGGCCGGCAAGCCCTACATTTGATAAAATTGTCTGTTTTGGAAGCAGATGGACATCTGTGTTGTCCCAGACTCGAGATGGTGCAAGATGCAACAGCTGGCTTTTTGTTGGCTCGTACTGCTGATAGCCCGAAGTCAGCTAGGGGTTCACGAAAATAGGGGGATGCCTGAAATAGACCCCAATTTAAGGACCCCAACAAATGAACCTTAAAATCGTAACCCCCCCAGATTGTACTATGCCGGACAAGCCCCAGCTGGCGATTCGAGGATTGAGGCCGCCGGCCTGCAGAGACCTCGATACAACCAGATCGAAGCGTCGGCCGCATGTGCGATGGACGAGGACCGAAGAGTGCCAGGGATCGTGAGGAAAGGGGTTTTGGGTCATTGTGGGCCGTGGTTGCGAAGGGACAGAAGTGGCCGCGTCCTTGCAGCATCCTTCGATGTCCTTAACTTCCGCGATGTGCTTCCGCAGCCGCTTGATTGCAGCATCCGACTCAGGCCCCCAGGCGATGTTTTGAAGGGTAGATAGTAGAGCGGCCCATTCTCTAGAAGGCTCGGGGAGGCTCTTTCCAAGAACTCTTCCAGCTCTTCTCATTCCTCGACCTTTCGATCAATTTGCGCCCCCCCCCAACCGCGCTTCAACCTCCGTGTCAGTTCAACATAAACCTTGTTTCAACTCCAGCGAATGCAGTCAGTTGGTAGCATCCGAATCTTGTGTCTGTTCTACTTTGTATTCTGTTTCCGGGTACTGAAGACTCGGGGGCCTTTCAAAAGGAGGAAGCAGCTTCCAAGCTGTAGTCAGGTGCCGAGGTTTCATCAGCGATGGGCATGCCAACAGCTACATATGAAGGATAAGCCCTCGGCCGTCGTGCAGTGGTGACAGCCAGGAGCTGCACTCCTATCATGCAGCACATGGCATCCACACGCTCGCCTACAGCCCCCTGGGAGGCGGTTGGCGATGTGGGAAGGGTCCTTCTTGATACTCTCGCATCTTTGCGACTTGCAATTGAAGCCTTAGTCCTTGGTGGCTACGGCGGAACATCAGTCCCACCGAAAACCCTGAAGACCCAAAAGCGTGTGTTGTACTGCTGTGCCCGTTTGCAGCCTGGATGTAAACACCGGGCTGTTTCACATGTTTTGAGCAGTATTGTAGCAGCGTGAATCGCAGGAATCGCACGAACAACAGGTTCTGAAATGCATTTTAGGGGACATGGGCTTCAACACACCAATGGCGTCGTTGCAACAAGGCACACTTTGACATATTTGCATCAGAGCATCCTCTGGCAGGGACCCTTGTAAAGGCGTGAGAGCTGTTTGCCTCGGAAGCCCTCCTTCCCCTCAACGCGCTTTTTTCAGATCTCAGTGGTTTTTCGAGATGCTTGGACAAGAAGCACCTCGAAAAAGGCGCTTCTCTGCGGAGGCTCCTACACTCCAAAGCTCCGGGAGCAGCTCCGGACGGCTGGTGCAGTAAGCAGCTCACTGCAAGCAGACGGACTGGGGGTACGCCGTTCATAAGGGCGCTATAGGGGGGCCCCCGAAGTCCTCCAAGCCTTGAAGCTCAACCAGCAAACGCAAAACATGCGGTTAAGCATGAAAGGTAGACTACCCACAGCAAACGGCAACAGCTTGGCCTGGAGAGTATTTCCAGCAGCAAGACCTGACCACCGGAAAGTCAGCATAGGCAAGTAAACTGACATCTTTTGCCCTTTCCGTCGTGCGATAAGAAGACCTAAACCCTAAACCCTAAACCCTAAACCCTAAACCCTAAACCCTAAACCCTAAACCCTAAACCCTAAACCCTAAACCCTAAACCCTAAACCCTAAACCCTAAACCCTAAACCCTAAACCCTAAACCCTAAACCCTAAACCCTAAACCCTAAACCCTAAACCCTAAACCCTAAACCAACCAGGTAGCGTGGCCGCACGCCTCGGGCGATCCCCGGAGCAGGCCGGGCGGGGCTTCCTCGACGGCCCGTGCTTGCTGGCACATCAAAACCTCTGGGTTGCGCGAGGCTGCATAGATCTCTAGGACTTATGGGAAATGTCGGGTAGACTTCAGGTAGACTTCAGGGGATGGGTTGTGGGCTGCGTCACGGTGCAGCTGGTTGTTTTGGGTCAGGAACCTTCGCAAGGTCTTGCTGCGCTACGTGGTGCAGCGATATGATGCGGTGGTTCTTCCAGGCGTGCCTTCGCTGCCTTGGGGCCTCCACCGTGAACCTTCGGATACCTTGGGGCATGTTTACGGCTCGGCTAGGGCTTCAATGTAGCAGTGCTGTTGCTGGCCGAAGAGCAGCTGTTGGGTCGCACCACTGCGGCAGTGGTGCGCGTGAGAGAGGATTGAGAACCCCACGTGCTACTTGCGGGGAAGCTCGCAGGCCCACGGCTTACCTTGAGAATCAGCCCTTATGAGCCTTAAGCTGGCCGGTCTCCAAGGCCTCATCCGTGAAGCACATGGTGGCCAACCTGGACCTTTTCCGATTCGACGCGCGGCTGCATCAAGCTTAGAAGATCCCAAGAGGCCTCTTTTGACGGTAGCATCGAGCGCTCGACAGGGGAACGATCCTTAAGCATGAGAGTCCACCCAAGCAAAACCCGAGAAGAAGGCCCAAACTTAGACTCCTTAGACACCAAAGGCCAGCCACGGAAGTCTCTTTTTCAGGCTCGCTACTCGGATATCTACACGGGAAGTCGCAGTTGTTTGAAGGAGCTCTCGAAGGAAGATGTAGAGGCGATCTCTACAAGCACTCCCCGTGAGTGCGCATATCCAATGTGCCGTGGCTGCACGGTTTGCGTTGCCGGCAAGTCCTGGGGTAGTTGGCCTAGGGGAGTTGTGGTGTTTCCAGTGCGCAGGGGTCTTCATAAGACTGTAGAAGCTGGCCGAGCAAACCGACTGCATGCGATGCTCCAGGGCTTAGCCAAGCCAAGCTGCGCACAACCCCAGGCCCACAACTAAGCACAAGCTCCGAGGATAAGGTGTCTCGACCCCTCCGCCCTCCGCATTTGTCACTGCAACAAGCCTTTTTGCTGCTTGCGAGCGTACTTTCTTACACTTGCATAGTGCAGTCTGTCCTTGCATAGTGCAGCCAGTCGAAGTGGTATACGCGCCAACTAGGATGAGGAAGCTGTTACGGATATGGGATGGCTCCGCCAACAGCTCAGGTACCAGCCTGGGCAGATCCCGTGAGACCCTCTCACCACGTTCCTACGTTCAGTACATGGAGGATGTGGCATTCAGGCCGCAACCTCATACTGAAGGGTTTTGACCTCATTTCTGGGGTTTGGGGTCTTTGGTTCGAGGTTTGGGAGTATGGATGACGCCTGAGCACGTTGTGACAAAGCTTTGCGGTATGGTATGGCAAGTCGCAATTGATGAGCTTCTGTAGAAGGCCTTGTGCAGCTGCGCATGCCCCCAGACCTTGGCTCATCACTTCATTGTGTAAACCCATGCAAGTCACAGTCGCATGTTTGTTGCCACGTGCACGGACGATCCTTGATGTCGGTGTATGCTGGGACCATGTGCTCGGAGAGTGCCGGCAGCCTGCGACGCGCATTTTGGACTTCTGAACGTGGAATCTGAATGTCTTGCGCGGCCCCTTAAACTTCCAGCTTGTTATGACACACCATGCGGCCAATAGGGCACCAACAAGCACAGCATTCATCGTAGTTTTCAGGGATGAGTCGGGAGAAGAGACTGAGTTTGGTGGATCTATGGTTCTGGATCCCAAATCTAGAAAAGAGACATTCATCTTGAGCCAGGACCTGCGCATCGCATGGTGGTGGTGGCGTTGACTCCAAGCTGACGCGCGCGAGGTGTGACCAAGTGTCCCGACATGATCGGCCCATGGACATTCTGGGCTTGCACTTGAAGCCTTGGAAGCCAAGGCAGTTGAGGAAGTTGATACTCAAACCGCCTGGCAGCCGAGCTCTCTTGAATGTTTCCCGAAATAAATGTCTTCAGCTTCGTTGCACTTATCCAGCAGAACCCAAGATTGCGAGAGACAGGCTGAAACAAGCTGTGACCCAGGGCTGTGTGGGCCTCGAACTGCGAACACACAGGCCCTTGTTCTTTCCTGGCTGCTTTCAAGCTGCGCTTTCAGGCTGCGCTTTCAAGCTGCAGGGGAGTTGGAGACGTATGCCGGCGCAGGCGTAGGAGAAAGAACGGTGCAAGCGGCACAAGCACACGTGGCAGAGGTGAGGCGGGCGTTAAAAACGTCCCTGCTGTAAGCCACGGACCCCATGGATTCGAAGAAAAGGCCCGGCGACTGCATGGCAGGGTGCTGAAGGGCTTTGGGGGGGGGGGTTGGAGTCAAGCAGTCTAGGGTTCAATGATGTTGAATGTTTTGCTCGGGCTGAAATCTCTGTTCAAGCGCTCAAAGAGTGACAAAAGTTGTGGGCGAACAAGTGCAGAGGCCGCTCCTGGCCAAAAGCCGTGCACCTGGTGCAGGCAGGCAGTTTGGCAGCACAAAAACGGGGGTTTCCCATAGCAGGGGTACCCCTTTTTGCCCGAGAATGTGGTAGAATCCCCTTTAAACAGGACTCCTAGGAGGGTACCTCGATAACAAGAAGCCCCCCCAAGTGACCCTTGGAGTACCAATCATGCCAATCCCACATGATCCCTGCAGATGTTTCAGGGCATGTCTCAGGGTGTGATTTTCGAAGAGGGGTCACGCTCAGCTACTCCTGCAATCAAAGATTGCTTCGTTTCGTGTTTCGTCGGGCAGTACTTGCATACGTTTGCATCGCCTGCGTTTCTGCAGTCCATCCTTTTGAACCGGCTTACTTTGAGAGGTCAATGGCAGTAGGATCTAGGAAGCCGGCGACACTCAATCTGGCATCTAGTTCAAAGCTCAGAAAGAAGTCACCAGCTCCGAACCTTGAGACGAACCCCCAACACGGCCAGGCAAAGGAACAATATGGAACAATCGAGAAAGCCATGTCTGCAGATAGTCTTGCGCAAGAGGAGCTGGCTTGCCGGGCCATTGTGGCCGATGTGGTCTCATTGAACACGGCAGCGCGGCCCCCCAGCACGGGAATTGTCTCGGAGTCGTTGCGACATTGGAAGTCGGAATTCTTTGGAGTTGGATTTGAGATGTGTGTAACCGTGTAACAGGGGGGCTGAGTCGACTGCAGATCCGGATCGGAATCCACATTCTCATGTGTCCTTGGCTCTTAAAGCAGCCAAAGAAGCGAGGCCTTAGGAGCAACGTCGGAGTTAGTCCATCAATACAAAATCATGCCCAACTTTCATGAGTGTAGAGCTTCAGCAGCAGCAGCAACCTGGAATCCGAAGTGCTGGCCTCTCTATACCTTCGTCTAGCCGAAGCCCCACTTGTCTTCGCAGCTTCCAGTTGCTCTTTAGGTCTTTAGGTTCAGGGCTTGCGGGAGCCCCTCCCCCCCAAGAACGCCCCATGGCCGCCCTCGTACGTCGCCTCCGGCTGCCGGCGCCCTGCGCCGCAAGAGCGACCGCAGCGCCACTTGGAGCAAAACGCACTTGGTCATCCTAATACAAGAAACCCCCCCAATATGCTATAGTATAACTAGAATGAGTGGTAATTTAGTATTAGGAGGTAGGGGGGGGGGTTAATTATTAGGGGATGAGGGGGTTCCTTCGTAAGAAGGAGGAGCACTGGAAGGCCTCACGGATCCATTCTCCTCGGACCCCGTCGCCCGAAGCTCCAGGGCTC